GAAACCGTTACAATTTTAAGGGAAAAAATAGAAAAAAGTTTAGGAAATTCGATAATAATCATATAAGTATAGGTAATATCAGGGGTAATCTATATGTACGTACATACATATTATCCGATGCATAATAAGTATACAGTGGGAAACCTACATAAAAAAAATAATTATTTTGCACTAAGTAGTTTTGGCAATTTTTGCCACTCGAATAATAATCATTCTCAAAAGGTTTTTCATCACATTTTATACCTAATTGATAAATCATCACTGAAGTAAGAAAAAAAAAAGGAACCTGGGTAATGTAAACAAGCTATTGTTTGGTATTGTACCTTTCTTTTCTTATCTATTTTTATTATACCTATATATTCGTCATTCGGCAGTAGACTATAGTGGAGGAATAAGCTATTAAAAAAATAATAATTACCTACACTATGATCCTAACTGCTCTTTAATTCAGAATTTTGGTAAGCTACTTCTAGTTGAGCATGTTTGGTATCCGATTTTAAGCATTTGGCTGTAGATATTCTCAATAACTTCCTCTTAACAATTGAAGTTTCGTTTCACTGATATCCAGGGCAACAAATCATGGTTTGATTATTTCTTTTTGGTAATTGGTGTCCCCTGGGGAAGCCGTCCACCATAATAGGTTAGGATCCCATTTGTTACACGATTATACTATTTAAGGTAAGTGTAGCAGTGGGGCACTACCGAATACCAGCGAGAAATGCTTGAATTGTGATTTGCTGTTGGGTGTCAGCTGCACAACGTGGTTTCAAGTGAATTCAGCCTAATAAGGCTTTAATAGAATAGCTACTTATTGATTTTGTGTTTTCCGGATGAAGAGTCAAGTGATCATGTTCTATATTGTAGCTGAAATGAAATGGTCGCGCCTCTAAAGAGGAATAAAAAACCTTTTAAAGGAGGTATCACACAGGGTAGTTTCTCATTTTAAAAAAATCATTATGAGGTCAAGTCTTGAAGACAGGAGAGGTAGGAGTGAGGCAATAAACAAATTTGGTTTCTCCGATGTGTATTTTATACTTTTATGACAGAATTCCTTTGACTAAGAGATAGGTAGTCAAAATTACTAGGTAGTTTTAAAAATAGGCTTATTGGTAGGTTATTATTTGAAAAAAATAAGTTAGGGTAGCTTCCCCCTAACACGTGAGGCGGGGTGTATTAAAAAGTGCCTGATTTTGGTACCCCTCCAATCCCCCGATACGTATTTGAGATCTTCCTGATTTTTTGTCTAAGAGATATTCCCGATTGCTACTTTTCTAATTATTGTCATCCTGTATATCGTGATATATACCTATTATGATAATTATTATTGGCGATATATACATATATCGGCCGAGCCATGCTTTTTTTCCAAAGTAACACTCAAGTATTTTTGAATATAAAATTATTTGAAAATAGAATTTTTAAACTGCTGCAGAAACGAGGGCTAGTTCTGTGACGTCAGAGTCTCAAAGATGCAAGGATGCCAAATTTATCATTGGAACATAATCCCAATAAGTAGGTACGTGAATGCGTCGAATTAAAGTATTGTACTACAAAGCGGAAACCCAGGGGGAAACTACCTTAGAATTTTCTAGAATTAGCAGTATTTTTTAGCATTTTTTAGTATTTTCTAGCAATTTCTAGAACTAATTAGAATTTTTTATTATTTTTTAGAATTGAATTAGAATTTTTTAGAAATAATTTAGAATTTTTGAGTGACAACAATAACAATGAGACGATGTTTTCAGTCACGTAATTTTTATTTTTTTTTCAATTTGCTATTTTGAGTTATCAATTTAATTGATTGAAATATGGCAAAATATTGTTCATTCTTGCTTCATTCTTGCTTGTCATTACTCTAGAATTCCATGTAATTCCCTCAGTAATTCCATGTGATTCCTCTAGAATTTCAATAATTCCACAGAATTTTTTTGGAATTCAACGATTTTGTATATTTTTAATTTCACAGTGATTTACTTCCTGGGGTAATATCAAATACCCTGGTAAGATCATATCTAGTAGGTACTTATACCTCGGAATTCCTATAAGCTCATTCATCTTGAAAAATATCCACACCAGAATCTCACTTTTAACGGAATCCCACCGAAATCCTACTGGAATTCTACAGAATCCTATACTGATATCCCACTCAATCCTTCTAGAATCCTACGGAATTCCACTGAAAATAAGTGAAATAAGTAAAAACTATTTTATACATGAGTAAATTGAGTTGTACTCATTTTTGAACCTCTACGGGATGAGTGGAGCGAGTTCCGCAGCAATTAACTCATTAATGAGTCATTCTAATATAAAAATGAGGAGTTTTTGAATAAGCTTAAAACGAGGGGTTTTTCATCTTGTTAATCGATGTACAAATTACTGGTTAATATATGTCAATACCAGGTAAATACTATGTCAATAGTGTCAATACTATGCAATACGTAAGTACTTGTTAATTATGTAGGTAATATATGTCAACACTGGTAGATATCTAGGCAATATATGTCAATGTTATTGGTTGATGTTGATACCCATTAATAACATGTAAATACCTGTGGATATGTCAATACCTAGAATTATGGCAAGACAAATATTTGATTTTAGTCTGTCAATAGCATGGCAATACCTGGTAATATGTGATAATACTAGGGAAATACCTGGCAATATGTGGAAATATTTTGTTAATACATGGAAATAGTTGGCAATAACTTGTTATTAGGTACCTACATAGAAATATCTGTTAATAGGTACAGGGTGATCCAGTATAAAGTGAACACCACCTACCTTTTCGTAAAAAAATTTTTTTTTAAAAAAATCAAGATAGCCATTTGGTGTATTTTGTTTCTAGGTGTTTGAGAACGTTCTTCGAAATTTAATTAGATTTGTCGATAAAGCACTGTGACCAATAAAGTATTTTTTTAAAATGGAATAACCTATATTTGAGTCAATTTTTTAAACGTCCCTATTTTTCTCATTTCAAATATATAGTTGATTTATCCTTATTCTAAAAATTTGCTATATATTCTCACTTCAAAATTCATATAAAAATAGCCGAAAAGGTATCATAAAACATAATCACCAGCAGCTTTATTAAAGGTAAAATTATTTAGATTTACCTTGATACCTTTTTGGCTATTTTTATTTGAATTTTGAAGTGAGAATATATCACAAATGTTTTTAATAAAGATAAACAAACTATATATTTGAAATGAGAAAAATAGGGACGTTTAAAAAATTGATTTAAATATAGGTTATTCCTCGGGTTATTCCATTTAAAGAAAATACTTTTTTGGTCACAGCGCTTTAACGAAAAATCTAATTAAATTTCGAAAAACGTTCTCAAATACCTAGAAACAAAATACGCCAAATGGCTATTTTGATCTACTCAAAAAAAATTTTTTTAGCTAAAAGAGTTCACTTTATACTGGCTCACCCTGTACATGGAAATATCTCAGTTAGTACTGTTAATCGGTGTACAAATTTTGTTAGGTGAAAAACCCCTTGGCTTAAAGCTTTCAGGATTTATGAAGTTTCCTCTTTGTGGAAAAGTTGATTTGAAGCTCCAAATTAAATTAGATGTTTTTTTCTCATGTTAATGCATGCAAAAATGATTAAAATCTCCAAAAATCATTTGTACACAGTGACTTGAAACTTTCAGGACTTATGAACTGAAATTTCCTCTTTGTGGAAAAGTTAGTTTGAAGTTGATTTGATGCTCCAAACTAAATTTAGAAGCTTTTTCTCACGTTAATGCATACAAACATGATTGAAATCTATCAAAATCACTTGTGCAAAATTCTTCCAATGGTCACAGTGACTTGAAACTTTTTTTAGGAATGATGAATTAAAGTCTTTTTCATATAGGAAAGTTAATTTGAAGCTCCAAATTAAATTTGAAAGTTTTTTTCTCACGTTAATGCATGTAAAAATCAAGGCAAAAATGTTTAAAATCTACAAAAATCACTTGTGCAAAATACTTTTAATGATCACAATAACTTGAAACTTTCAGGATTTATAAATTCAAGTTTCTTTTTTATGGAAAACTTAATTGGAAGTGAATTTGAAGCTCTCAATTGAATTTGAAATGTTTCTCTCATGTTGATGCATTGAAAAACTTCAAAAGTGTGCAAAAATCACTTGTGGAAAATACTTCTAATGATCACAGTGACTTAAAACTTTCAGGATTAATGAATCAAAGTCTTCTTTATATGGAAAAGTTGATTTGAAGCTCCGAATCAAAGTGGCATTAAAAAACTGTAAAAATGTGCTGACCCGGAAATAAGTGAGTTTTTGAATTAATAAGTGAAAATTCTGAATCAAAGATAGATGAGTTATTGAACTAAAGAGTAAATTGCTGAGGAGCTCGCTTTGCTCATTCCGCATAGGTTTTTGAGTTATTCACTCATTGATAAGAAAAATTCTGACCTGAAAATGAGCCTGAAAATGAATTAAATTTTGAACTGATGAGAGTACATTTCATGAGTAAACTGAGTTCTATTCATTTTTGAACCCAATTACCTCATTAACGAGTCATTCTAATATAAACATGGGGAGTTTCTGAACTTTAGAATCTGTAATTCCACATACTTGTTCACTATACATATAATTGGTGGTTTACCCCTCGGTTCAGTTTATCCATAAAGTATTATTTTAAAAGACATTTAATAGGTGTACACATTGACGGAGTACATATAAACTTTGATGGTTGCCTGCCTGGTTTTGATAATGTAATAAAATGAGGTTTAGGGTTAGTTAGTTTCAAAAGTTTAATGCAACCTTTAATTACTTCACTATGAAGTTTTTCGTGTCATTTTTAATTAAAAACTTTACGTGTCTGGGCATTGCATTAAAACAAATAAAATGGAATTGGAAAACTTCCAGCCATGGGAATTCTTGATTCATAATTTCTGTAACTATAGACTGTAGTTCTTGAAAATTGGGATTCTTGAACTTATTTGAACTAAGCTAGTGATTTACAATTTACACATAAAATCTCTACTTACATGTTCAACATTAATCTCTCCTCTGTACATAAATTCGACAAGGCATTTGATATCGACGTACTTCACATCTTTCATGATAAGTATGGGGTCCTTTTCCTCGTACTGAGACAGAATCGTTTCGAAATAAGTACTGCAAGCTGACAACACTATTTTGTGTGCCTTTATCGTTTTACCTTCGCAGGCCAAAGTAACATCACAAAAAGCCTCTCGATCCAGCAATTGCGAGAACATTGTTTGTAAATTGGAGTGATGGTACCTCCATCGTAAACAATATTGTTGGGGAAGCATTATTTTTTATTATTGAGTCACCAATTTAAATTAATCAATATTATTGTTATTTATTTAATCATTATTTGTTGAATTTATCCCAGTAGGCCCTTTGTTTTGATTTGATTCACTTGTCACAACAAACAGTTCTCAAAATACAAATTCAATAATTGATTCGATGATTCACTACTACTTGTCACAAAGTTGAAAATTTTCCCAAAAGCTAAAGAAAATGTAAACAGTTAGTCATTTTTTTGGTAAGTAATTGCTAACAGGAGGATCTTCAAAAAACTGAATTTAGTGGCCGGCCAAGCCTTTCGAAGCCCAATCAATACATTCGGTGTTCAAAAAAAAAAAACACCAAAATTTTGGAATTTCCGGCACCGTAAACAACACACTACGCCGACTTTTCCGTAACGACTACTTCAAAAAACTGGCTGGCTTTTTAACAAACTAACGGCACCGAATACACACAGAAACGCAAACTCAAAAAACGGGGTCAAAATTTAATACTTCGCGACTGTAATTAGGCCTTTCATATTTTATTTTTATGAAACTCGAGATTTTTCACAAAAGCCATCCATGGGAAAAAGAAAGAGAAAATCGTAGGCATGTCAAGTTCAACGAACGGCTTTTTTTTTGTTTTGATTTGTTTCGGCGGCGAATCAAAACAAACAAACGTGGTTTAAAATATTAATCGACCACCCGACGAAGAACTCCTCTTTTCGATTTGGGCTCTAATTGTCGCCAATTGGTGCCCAAATTATCAATCGTATATTTAATGTTTTGTCTCTCTCTTCGATTTTTGAAAAACTTTTGGAAAAGAGACGGACAATCGGTCCCTTGTAGGGGAAAAATTATCCGCGTTCATTTTTTAGCGATTTTTACTGAAAAGCGGTCATAAAAAACCATAAAACTTGGGGGAATTTCGTGTCAAAACTAGGGGATTTTCGGAAATCCGCCATACTTGAAACTTTGACGTTTCGCTCAAGGCCAATCGAAAATACTGAAATTTTAATGCATTGGCGTACTAGACAAAACCTTCAATTACACTATTATTAGTACTAGACAAAAATAAGACCAAACTGTAAATAATTGATAATCAAATAACGTACAAACGATTTATGAATCAACTTTTTTTTTTATTTATTAGATAGAAAAATACATCGGTAAAGCAAATAAAGTCAATACTCAATATTCTTGACAAACTGAAGAATGACATCGTAGCAGGTTTCGTTTTTTTTTTTCCTTCCAACCAATACTTATGAGAAATAGTATATTGTGCAACAAGTGTTGAAAATAGCACTTTTCACACGCCTGGGGAAGTTTGGGTTTGGTTAATTAAATTTCAATCCAGGAAAAGCTGTGTCATCGTTTAATTTATTATCTACCTAATGAAATTCTAGTAGGCATTCCAACGACCTGTCAAAAATAAATTCAATATGGCGGCATTGGCCAAGCATCTGTCATCTATGATGTGGGTTTGTTTATGAACTATGTTTTATTGATTTTTTTATAAGCTTTTTTGAAGGTAAACCTTTTCACTGTTCGGCCTTGGCTGCCATATTGATTTGATCGCCCTATTGGAAGTTATTTTGATATTTAATATAAAATTACCATCTCATCTCAAGAACACAATAAAGCGTACGTTCTCCAATTCTCGAGTCGGCAGTAGGTCTGCGGTTGACGTCACCATTATAAGCAGCTGATAGTAGTGACGTCATCCGCAGACGTCGATGGATTGCTTTCGATTCAGGCTGTGCTTGTGACTGAATTGAATGAGACTGTTTTCGTCGATTTTAAATGTAGAAAAGGTGATTTTAACGTTTAGGAAGCGCAGTCCTATTAGCTTTAGTGTTTTGGATCTAAATAGATTTCTGCAACAAAGTTGGCTGCCATAAATTCAGCCTGGAAAAATGTCACTTTACCGCCTAGGACTATTATATATACTAGCACTGTGCCAACAAAGCAGGGAACCATACAATTTTAATTTACCGCGCAAAACCTGAAATTTGTGCAAGCATAGAATCCGAAATTCGGATACTGAGTGATTTCGAAACGCTTCGTGGGAAGGTTTTTTGACGTGATTGAACAGACCCATCGACAGCCATACGGTAGTGTGAAGTGTGACGATGACATCCGTAAAGGTCAAGAATCGTAAACTCTACAGGATTGCTCAATCCCATAAGACAAACGTTCATAAAAATATCGAAGATGGCGGTATGCGAATGACGTCACGCAGTCCTTGATCGGTTTGTGTTTTTTATGACAGTGCACTATCCTTGCATTTTCAAACGTGAAAAATTGTTATTTTGAGGTTATTTCCTTTGAAAACTGTATTTTGTAATTAATTTATTGATTTTAAAATTAGCAGACTTCAAAAGCTTGTGTCCTTGAGGCTTGAGTGGTTGGCTAATTGCTAATTAGAAAGACGAGTTTGTTTGCTTTTGTTTATCAATTAGCCAAACATATTGCCAAAAAGTCAAAAAAACGAAGGGCTGGAGTCAAGCTGGCCCCCGGATTCGTTTCAATGTTTTTTTTTGTGTATGAAAATGAGCACAATTCGCATAAATACTGGCACAATTGAGCACAAAACGGGCACAATTGACTACAGTTGAGAAACAGTAGAAAACCAAATGTGGGGTGCCGAGCCGGTTTAATTTTTGCATTTCAATATCAAAATATAAGCGAAACGGGGTTGCAATAGTGTGCTTTATTTTTTACTGACCCTACCTAGGTACTTCTCAATTATTATTCATTAATTTAATAGGTACTAGAACGATTTAATATGGACATTCAAAGTGAGCTTATTTCACAAAGCCAAATAGTGATACCTAATTTAGATTCTCATAATCATATTCCAGAAAAACATTGCAAGTTTCCCATATTTTCCATGCGTTTTCATAGTAAACGCGCCAGTAAAGGAATTTATTTACATATTTATTTATTCACTCTTCACAAACCCTAATTTTTATTAGTAATTACATGCAAAGGAAACTTACAACTAAGTAGATATTTGATTTATAAAAAAAAAGCAAAACAAATGCTTGACTAGGAAATACTAACTAGCAATACACACAAATAAAAGAGCGATGTCCTGATACAACAAATCCAGTATTATAAAACCAGAAAATGCTTGGGGTTTTCGCGAGTATTTTCAGCCACGAGTCTTTTATGCTTACACACATTAAATGAAACTTTAAATTTACACTTATAACACTAGATAAATCCGAATTTACGATAAAATAGTTGTCAGCACAAACTAAACATCATTCGTATCAGCGGCCATCTTGAAAATCCGGCATGCGCGTGACGTCACAGCAATTGTGAACAAATTTAGCCGATTGAGCAATCCTGTAGAGTTTACGATTCTTGCGTAAAGGTATAGTGTGAATATGACCATTGAGCGCTTTCTTTTATTCATCGATGAATCCTTGTCTAAGGATTCATCGATGAATAAAAGAAAGCGCCCATTACTTTCTAGTGTAAGGGCCGGTTTCTCAATAGCAAGTCACCCTCGGGTTTATACTAACTCCAGGGGTAAGCATTGCAACTGTCACGATTACCCTGAAGTTAAAACCAACCCGGAAGTGACTCGCAAATGAGAAACCGACCCTAAAGCTGGAGTTTCATGCATCCGTTTTTCCGACGAAAGATGTCCGAAAAACATTCTATTCTGACATAATCGTATAAAAATATGTCAAAATAGAAGATTTTTCGAGGTCCGTGAAGTTGGCCCCTAAAGTGTTGAATTTTTTTTGGAAAAATATGTTGTTTGTTAGTGCTTCGTTAGTGCTTCTTAGTGCTTCAATTGTTTTCGTTAGTGCTTTTTTCGTTTTCAGTATATCGATTTTTTTGTAGTTTCAAGGTCAGCCCTGACAATCTGTCAAAATGAACGAAATTTAATACTATGTTTTAGTGCTTCGTTAGTGCTTCTTAGTGCATCAAATAGTTTCGAAAGTGCTTTTCTTATTTCTTAGATATTTTAGATTTTCACTTCAAGGTCAGCCCCCAAAAATTTTTCCGAATTACCCAATTTTGGTGTCAGTTTTTAGTGCTTCGTTAGTGCTTCTCAGTGCTTCAAAGAATTGCATTCGAGAATATTTCCTTTTTGAGATATTTAACTTTAAATTTTCAAGGTCAGCCCTCAAATTATATGGGATTGAGTTAAATCTAGAGTCGTTTTTTTGCGCATCGTTAGGGCTTTTCAGTGCTTCAGATAGTTTTCTTAATGCTCTTTCCGTATTCTGATTTTATTTTAAAATTACCACCCAAACTTGTTCCAAAATGTACAAAAAACACAGGGACGCCACCTCGGACGCCACTGGAGCCAACATTGGTTTATAGTATGGAGGAAATCTAAAGGCTCGCTTTCCTCGGATGCGGGACGGAGACGGAACGTAAGCGTGACGGAGTCATAGCGCCTGCCGACGTAACGCGCTTGGAAGCTAGTGCTTTCCTCGAAGGCGACGCAACGTGGGCGGTTCGGCAATCCTTGTGTGAAAATAGGCTATTTTTTATTTCAATAGACATACATAAATTGATAAATTATACAACACAGGATACTGCCACACTAAAATCAATCAACAACTCACTTTGCTCTTCTGTAAAACTCGATATTTTTAAATTTATAATATTCCGTCCGTCTTGCGCTCCGTCGAAGTTGCCTGTCGACCGACCGGTGGCGTGATTCCGCTAGCGTCAAAAAAACTGCGCTCCGCCGCCGTCGCGCCACCGCTGCTTAGGAAAGCACATCTTTATATTTTTAATGCCGGCAACGTCTGCGGCACCCGTTCCGTCTCCGTCCCGCATCCGAGGAAAGCGAGCCTTAAGGTGCCGGTGCGCTCTCTATCTCTCTCTTTTATGGTTATTTAGTTATTTTGGAAAGGGCTATTTTAATTGGTCACTGTTTTAGCTGGCGCTATTTCGTTCGTTCAGACGCAGTTTTGACTGGCGCTTTTTTAGCACCGGAGCATCTCACTCCGGAGTAACTCGCCTTTGTTTTAAACAGAATGGCTGTGTCATTAAATAGCGCCCAACGAGGAACCGCACTTTACAAGTTGGAAAATGGCATATTTTTAACTATCAGTAAGTCAGTATCAGTAAATTTGATACCTGTGTCATATTCGATATATAATACGACTCCGGGCCTTATTCTGTAAAAACGAACCATTCGATTCGGTAGAATTTCTTCGATTGTGACGTCATTTTCGGTTTGCTAGCGCGGAAGCCATTCCGAAAATACCGAGAATGACGTCACAATCGAAGAAATTCTACCGAATCGAACGGCTCGTTCTTTACAGAATAAGGCCCCTGGGCTGGGATCACGACGAGTAAAATTCTACTTTCATGACGTCATTCGCGACCTATTTATCGCATACAGTACAGGCGATGATGAAAGGTGCTAGACAACATGACGTCATGAAAGTAGAATTCTAGTAGAATTCTACTTGTCGTGATCCCAGCTCTGGGTTATATTCTGGCACAGCTTTTGACTGCAGACAACATAAGCAGGGGAGCTCCGAAAGAGAAATGGAGGTCCGACAAATACCATTTTAAAGTCACGTGATATTGGTGGCAAAAAACGTATGTCCATTGATTATGTCGTTGATATCACCTACAAAAAGCTACTAGTGGTTTATTACTATTGAATTTTAAGATATGTTCCCAATAGCATTTAACAAACGCGTTTCTGAAGTAGTATTGACCAATCAGATGGGAATTTTAATACTTGCAATTGTTGTGATACTCACTTTTGACGCATCTGCTGTCCATTGTAATACATTCTGAACTTGAATTGGGTACCCGATTTCTATTTGCTTTTTTTCGAGTTGGAAAAAGGTTAATAGTCAAAATTATTAGCTGTGTTTGTTCGTTGTATCCTTTTCCAAAATAACTTTGACAAATTAATTGATGACAGTGACGGATTCTATTCCAGGTATAAGAATATTATGAATAATAATTAGACACCAATTTTTTTGTCAATTGTGCTATCACCGCTGTTTGAGATGTATTCAACAAGGATAGAAAAAAATCACGTGACTTTAAAATGGTATTTGTTGGACTATACTTATGGCAATTTACGCCGAAAACTCACACACTGGAGGTCGTAACTTAGAATGATTCAAATTTATGATAAAAAAATATTTTTTAATATTGATCAATATAATAGGCAAAGAGGAAGATGAAAACGAGATCTAAATAAAGGGTTGTTTTAGAATGTTAATTATTAATGTAGTAAAACCGTGAATAAAACCAAGTATGCATGAAGCCAAAGCCCGCGGAATCATAACCTGTAGTGCAAAAGGCCTACGTCCATCCGAGAAAGGACATGCTTACGTCACAACTGGTGATTTGGTGTATCATCCTTACTATGAACCGATGTTGGCTTCAGTGGCGTTCCTGTGTTTTTTGTACATTTGGAATAAGTTTGGGTGCTAATTTTAAAATAAAAAATACTAAATAATCAGAATACGGAAAGAGCATTAAGAAAGCTATATAAAGCACTAAAAAGCACTAACGATGCGCAAAAAAACGACTCTAGATTTAACTCAATCCCATATAATTTGAGGGCTGACCTTGAAAATTTAAAGTTAAATATCTCAAAAAGGAAATATTCTCGAATGCAACTGTTTGAAGCACTGAAAAGCACTAACGAAGCACTAAAAACTGACACCAAAATTGGGTAATTCGGAAAATTTTTGGGGGCTGACCTTGAAGGGAAAATCTAAAATATCTAAGAAATAAAAAAAGCACTTTCGAAACTATTTGAAGCACTAAGAACCACTAACGAAGCACTAAAACATAGTAACAAGTTTCGTTCATTTTGACAGATTGTCAGGGCTGACCTTGAAACTACAAAAAAATCGATATACAGAAAACGAAAAAAGCACTAACGAAAACAATTGAAGCACTAAAAAGCACTAACGAAGCACTAACAAACAACATATTTTTCCAAATAAAATTTAACACTTTAGGGGCCAACTTCACGGACCTGATTTTTCGGACATATTTCGTCGGAAAACGGATGCATGAAAATCCGGCTTTAAGCTGACTTTTCATGCATCCGTCAATCCGATGATCCGGAAGTATTCCTATTGTTCCAGTATTTTGGCGCCAAAATATTGGACAAATAGGAATACTTCCGGATCATCGGATTGACGGAAAAACGGATGCATGAAAAGTGGGCTAAAGAATATTTGACGTGTTGTTAACGTTACAGTAACGTGACGGTGCCGATATGTATCAAGGATATTACACACTACTACAGGATTGATCATCGTCGTCGATTTTTGGAATCAAGGTCATATGGTGTTGCCCTGTTGCCCAAGGATGAAACACACTACTCCTACAGGATAGCTTATTCACATAAGGCCTGTATAGATCAAATCTCAAGCCCCCTATCCTGCCAAAAAAACAGTGATGACGTAAGCAATGTGTCGTTTCTCGCCTTGACGTAAGGATGTTTGCACCACAAGTTACGATTCCGCGAGCTTTTGCTTTATGCATACTTAGTTTTAGTACATTAATTACCATTCTAAAAAAACGCTTTTTTAGATCTCGTTTGCATCATCCTTTTTGCCTAATAGGTTTATCAAAATTAAATAATATTTTTCATCATAAATGTATATTCTAAACTATGACCGCTAGTGCAAACAGCTGACGACGTATTTGATGACGTCGTCAATGGTGCTACTCAATATGGCCGTGATTCCTAAAAACGAGGCCGATAAGCAATCCTGTGTAATGTATTATCCTTGCAATTGCCGACGTCATCAACGGTGTTGTTAGCTGTTTGCGCCAGTGTATGTTTGACGGATATCGTCTTGTGACGTCATTGATTTACGACTGCGTTTTGGCGCGAAGAGAGTTATTTTGAATTTCTATATTTTTTCACAAAAAAACTATACGTTGAAAATTTAAAATTTATGTGGCAAGTAACTTGAAATAACACGCTATCAACGTCGTCACTGGTACTTTGGCGTGCTGGTGAGGAGGCTTGATTGAGATCTACTCAGGGTAGGGATTCCAATATCATAATTGACATAATTCAACACACGACTCAACAACGAGACGCAACTCGATACCGGCCCTAGTAAATAAATTTGACATGCGACACGTCGGAAATTTAAAATAGCAGCTTTATTTTGCCATTTCTTGGCCTAGCTCTAATGACATAAATATCTACATATTAAACAGTTCTAGCATAGAAATAGTAGATATAGATATGATAAAACAAATAATTCATTTAAGTCTGAGATGTAATTTGTTTGATTTTAATTTCATCAGTAATGTTCAGATTATAAGATGAATGTTGGCCATGGATACTGTGCCGGACATTGACGTCAAAATTCCATCTTAAATGACAAATTTTTATTGAAATTACTTTTTTTATGGAAGGTTGTTAGAAGTGAAGTAAAGGATATCACACACTACTACAGGATTGCTCATCTGCCTCGATTTTTGGAATCAAGGTCATATGGTGCTGCATCAATGCCGACGTCATCAACGGTGTCGTTAGCTTTTTGCGCCAGCGGTCGTAGATTAGAATATAAATTTATGATGAAAAATTTTATTTAATTTTTAATACGCAAAGAGGAAGATACAAATGAGATCTAAAAAGAATCGTTTTAGTATGTTAATCAATATAAAACCAAGTATTCATAAAGCAAAAACCAGCGGAATCATAGCCTATGGTGCAAAGAGTCTACGTTAAGGCGAAAAACGACACGCCAATTACAACATGGTGGGGGATTGAGATTTGAACGACAAACGCCTTATGAAGATAGGCTATCCTGTGAAGGGTGTTATATCCTTGAGGTAAAGTGACGTCGAAGATTTCACTTTACCATTAAGAGCGGCTTTCTTTTCAGGGGCTTGGGCGCCCCAGGGTGCCTGGATCACGATTTTGAATGACTATGTCAACCGTTCTTTTTAATCGGGGCATCAAGCCCCGGGGTCGTCTATCCGCACTGCTAACGCCTCAGCGAGGCGTCGAAGCTCCACAACTCCAGTGTCGGAACTGTCACTGGTGTCAGGTAATTATAGCCGCTTTCCAGCTGTGTGCTTCAAGCACGGTGCAGCACAGTGTTCTGTGTTTGAAACGCAAAAGGTAGCAGCTCTCGAAGCGCAGTACGGTTGGAACAGAAACACGCGCTTGAAGCATTTGCGCGCGTAAAAGCTCGATTGCGTGCTCAAAATGGTCAGCAGGAAAGCGGCTTATATGTCCCAATTACCGTTCTTTTCAGAGCGTGCGCTGTCGCGCCCCAGAGCGTCGAAGCCCGGGGTTTCAAAGCTCTGAAAAGAAAGCACCTTTCAGATAGTTTTTTCATGGTCTCTTCCAACTCAAGAGCCGCTTTCCAGTATGGGAGTGTGACGCCCGGAGCTACTCAGAGCGTTGAGCCCCGAGCTGTACGTACGCATCAAACTGTCAGCTGTCACATCCGTGGGTGGCTATTTCTTTATTTATATCTTGTTATATATCGGGATCATTGCTCGGGATTGAACATTTTGAAGATATAAGTTTTGATTCTCTTTCATTTTTGATAAATAAAAAAACAAACTGCACAAAGTAAATTATTATTAAAATTTGACATATTTGACACTAAATCAGGGGTCTCACGCCATGATACTAGTTGTATTCCTTTCACACCTAGGAGGAGCTCCGGAACAGCTCCGGGGCTTCACGCGCTTATTCCTTTCGAAAAGTGTTTGTTGCACCACGCATATGTTCCCTGCAAATCGCGGGCGACTAAGCACCGAAGCGAGTAGCTCGAGTGTTTCAAGCTCTTGAAAGGAATACAACTACTGAAACGGTACAAACCTAGTGCGTGGCGCCCCCGAAGTGCTCTAGAGCGCGCCAATGTGCATACTGAAAGCAGCTAAGTGAGCAGGTTACTTTTCGCGTCGTTTACGACCTAACCTTACTTTTTACTTTCTTTTCTATTTATTTTCATTTCAATTTCCAAACAAAACATTCAAACAAACACTAACATTTGTATTTATCAACAAAATTGTCTTGTCTGTATTTAACCAGGTCAGAATGTCTGACGACGAAATCCCCTACGTGAAAAAAACCAAAACAATTCACTACGGCTCCCTGGAAGACTCCGAAAGGGCTCGCATCGAAGCCGAACAAAATGAAGAGGCGAGCAGCAGCTCCGATTCCGAGCCCGGGGCTCCGCCGCCGCCCCCCGAAACTAACAACGAATACATGGAGCTCGAAGAGTCGATGGCCAGAGACAAACAGGCCTTGCTGGAAGAATTCGAGAGGCGCAAAAAAGCACGCTCTATAAATGTTTCGACCGATGATGGGGAGGTCAAAAGGAATTTACGTCAATTGGGAGAACCTATTTGTCTTTTTGGAGAAGGTCCTGCAGATAGACGGAGTCGGTTAAGGGATATTTTAAGTAGACTAGGTGAGGATTCAGTTATCAGGAGGGAAGCTGAAGAAGAAAGAAAACTTTATGAAAAAGATCAGGAACAAACTTGGTACCATGAAGGCCCAGAGAGTTTGAGAATAGCTAGGTAAAAATAATCTAATATTAAGTAAATTTAAAAAAAGTTTCCTAAACCCAGTCCCATTTAGATCTTGGATAGCTCATTATTCCCTGCCCAGAGCCAAAGAAAGATTAGCAGAAGCCAGACTACTTTTGGAACTACCTTCGACAACCAAAACAGCCAAATACCAAGAACTCCAAAAGAAACTTCAACAAATGGCCATATATTCATCACAAGTAGGCGACACAAGACCAATTTCATATTGTCAATTTTCCCCCAACGGCCAACTCCTAGCCACAGCCTCCTGGAGTGGATTATGTAAAGTTTGGACTGTACCCAATTGTGAATTGAAACAAACTTTAAAAGGCCACACCTGCAATGTCGGAGCCATAGTTTTTCATCCGAAAGCGACAATCTCGCAAGAGGAGAACATCTGCAATATGGCCTCATGTGCAGCAGATGGATCCGTTAAACTGTGGGACTTTAAAGGAGAAGAACCTATAGCCGACATTGAAGGACACATGCCTCATAGAGTTTCTAGGATAAATTTTCATCCTTCTGGAAGATTTTTAGGTAAACAAATTTGAGTTTATAGAATTTTTGTTTTAAAAAATTTATTTGTATAGGTACTTGTTGTTTTGATAATTCTTGGAGATTATGGGACTTGGAACAATGTACTGAAGTGTTGCATCAGGAAGGACACGTTAAACCAGTTTATTGTATATCATTCCAAATTGATGGTTCAGTATGTGCTTCAGGGGGTTTGGACTCATTTGGGAGAGTTTGGGATTTGAGGACTGGAAGGTGTATTATGTTTATGGAAGGTCACTTGAAGTCAATATACGGTAAGAATAATTGGTCTTTAAATAAAAACTAGCTTCAATAATTATTTTTGTGGCATTTAGGTATTGATTTTTCTCCAAACGGTTATTATTTGGCCACAGCAAGTGAGGACAATACTTGTAAAATTTGGGACTTAAGGAAGCGCGCTTCTCTCTATACAATTCCTGCACATAATAATCTGATTTCTGATGTAAAGTTTCAAAGAGATGATGGTAACTTTTTGGTGACTGCTTCATATGACAATACAGTAAAAGTTTGGTCTAACAAAACGTGGCAGCCGTTAAAAACACTTTCAGGACATGACGGTAAAATTATGTCCTGTGACATTTCACCAGACAGTAATTTTATTGCTACTAGTTCGTATGATAGGACTTTTAAATTGTGGGCACCAGAATAGATTTAAGTTTAATCGTATTTTTATAATTTACTTATATAACATATGAATAAATATTCTAGTTTGAAGTTATACTTCTAATTTGCCTTATTGAGGCAACAAGTTTAGGCAAATATCCTATACTTTGCACTTGATATTGGTCTGTGGGTATATTCAATAGCAATGACACTTGTTGAAGATTGTCAGCCATGGTTATGCCTAAATCTTGCAGGACGTTATTCAAATAACCTGTGAAAAAATGTTTTAATGGAATACATTGTCGTGTAAAAATACTTACTTATATCATGAACTAGTTGTCTTCTGGCAGCTTGGCTAAGCTTGGGTATAGACATGATTTTATCACAAAATCCATTGCAAGTGCCCCTAGCGACAATTTGCAAAAATATTTGGGCTAAAGCTCCTTCAGTATCTGGTGCGTCTGCGTATTCTTGGTCTATGGATTTAAGTGCGCAAGATAATGAGGGATTTTCTTTGAATAAAAACGGTTCTAAATGTTGGGGTAGTTCCATTAGGTATTGGCCAATCTGGAAAATAATTTATAGTTAACAGCTAATCATTGTTCTCAGTAAAACATAATGATTCATGTTTTACTAAGAAGGTTGGCATACACAACAAAAATCCAGTTGGTTTTTGATGCAAAAACCCAACATGTTTTTGATGCAAAAACCCAACATCAATATTGATAAAAACCCAGTGGGCTTTGGACTTTTTGTGTCAGAACTCCACTCATACAGAAATGAACTGTTGGAACTAAATTAAAATCTTAATTGTTAGGTTTGTAGAGAATTTAATTGGATTTAATTTAAGCCTAATTACGTTGAAATCGGAAAAAAATTAACAGAGCTGTGGGGCAAAAACTGTCTCAGTGTCATTTTTGGCAGATTTTCAATGTTCGATATTTCAGTTTTGAAGCTTATCAGACTTTTGAAATTATGTTAAAATTTTAATTAACATGTTTAAAGAGAATTTAATTGGCTTTAATTAAAGCCTATTTACGTTAAAATAGGATAAAAGTTAAGGGAATTGTGGGGCAAAAATTGTCTCAGGGTAATTTTTGGAAAATTTTCAATGTTCGATATTTCAATTTTGAAGCTGCTCAACTGCAAAACTGTTGAAGGTATGTTGAAATCTTGATTAATAGGTTTGTGAAGAATTTAATTGGCTTTAATTTAGGCCTAATTACGTTGAAATAGAATACAAATTAACCAAGGGGTAAAACCACCACTCCCCCAAACTTTGTGCAAACAATTCTTCAAATTACCCGCAAATTGCTCCAAATCAAATTCCACAGAAATTCCTCCAAATTCCCCACAAATTCCTCCAAACTCCCTGCAAATTCCTCCAAACTGCTCGCAAATTTCCTGCAAATAACTGTTACAAATTCCATAGCAATCCCCAAAGTTGTTTGCGATAAGAATAGTTATTTATGCAACAAGTGTGTAAAGTGAACCTTTTTTCACGAATGTGAATCTTGACACACGAGCCAAAGGCGAGTACGACAATCACATGAGTGAAAAAAAGTGCTTTACGCACGTATTGCATGCAAAATTTTTTCTACTACCAATCAAATATGTTTAAAAAAATAAATTAAGACAAATTCTTCACGCACTAGTGCGTAAAGTATTTTCACTTTACACACTAGTGCGTGAAGTAATTTACCAGAAAAATGGTAATTTGACAGGTCGACATCTGTCATTGACATTACTTTACGCACTAGTGTGTGAAGTGAACTACTTCACGCACTGAGAAATTTTACTTCTTCTGAATAGTGCGTAAAGTGAGTACTTTACGCACGGTAGCAGAAAAAAGTATTTTTCTATTTTTATTATGTTCAGTGTTTCAATAAATTTCCCCAATTTCTCATACATTCCTCCAATTTCCCATAAATTCCTTCAAATTCCACACATATCCCTAAATTTTAATATTTTCTTTATCTACTTGCAAAATTTCGATCCAATCCTTCAAACTTTTCTCAAAAAAAAATAAATAAAACGACCTTCATGTCGTTTTTTGAAGCTTGATTTTTCCAAAATGATATTGAACCAATTTCAATTTCAATTCAATTCAATTTCAATTTATGTTTATGTTTCTTTAGTTTATCTCTATTTCGTATAGAGACCACAAGGCCATCAGTGATCCATGGTTTTAATCTTTTTTTCCTGCTACTAATTTGCCTATTTCACCTCACATCTTTGTTAATTTCAATCCGATCGTAATGTAATTAGGCTTGAAATGAACCTTATTAAATCCTTTACAAATCTCTATAAAGTATTTTCAATGTAGCTTCAATAATTTTGTAGCTGCAAAGCTTTAAAGCCTTTCGACTTTGATTTTCATCAAGGTGAGCGCGTAAAAGCAAATTTTTATTTTTTTCTTAAATTTCAATCCTTTCTTCATCGACTTGCAAAATTTCAAGCCAATCCCTCAAAGGATTTTCTCAAATAAAAATAAAACGTCCTTCAATGTCGTTTTTTGAAGCTTGATTCTTTCCAAAATGACACTAAACCACATTTTATATCCCATCTTTGTTCATTTCAATCCGATCGTAACGTAATTAGGCTTGAAATGAAGCTAATTAAATCCTTCACAAATCTCTATGGAGTATTTTCAATCCAGCTTCAATGGTTTCGTAGCTGCAAAGCTTTAAACCTTTTTGACTTTGATTTTCACCAATTCCTCTAATTTCTTATAAATTCCTCCAATTTCCCATAAATTCCTGCAAATTGCCCACAATATCCTCTGAATTTCCCACAAATTTTTCTGAATTCCCCACAAATTCCTCTAAATCCCTCACAGTTTTGGCAAAGAATTCACAGGTGGTTTGCCCCTTGAAATTAACAGAGCTGTGAGGCAAAAACTGTCACAGCGTCAAGGCGCAAATTTGTTCAAATTTTCCAATAGACAATTTTTTTCTAGTTGTAAACACAAAAACCCCACAAGGACTATCATAATGACCCACAAAAACCCAATAGAAAATTTTAAAAACCCGGGTTTTTGTCAACCCAGATCATTCCTGCTGAAACCTGCTACAGAATCCCATGTGGTCGTTTTGAAATGTTTAAAATATACATATAAGGGTAGCATGGCAATGCTTTTTAAGGCAAGTTTCAACTTTGAGGCTTTCTGTAAAAGGAAGTATGCTATTGACATTCTAAAAACCAAAAACTAATTATGTATAGCTATATCTGCTATAAAGTTCTACATGGAGAGCTCTTTTCTAGCTTTAATGGTTTTTGAGCAAGCGGTCTGCAAGCATAAAAATGTATTTTGAAGGCCTTTCTATAGGAACAACTAGGATCTTGAAATTTTATAAAAAAATAAGGTTGTAACCTAGCTTTGTTAATGCTCTACCCTTCCACATGACTTGCAAAAAATTCTTATTTTTGAACTTCAAACCAAATCCCAGAAGGGGTAGCCGAGGCGGTAACAACTGGACCAAAATTTGTACATGTATTGCGCATTACATGCTTTTTTGAAGTAATTCCAGTAATTCCAATGCAATACCATCGTACTGCCATCATAATGGCAGTAATTTCATGTAATGCCATTATGGTAATATTAGGCTACATGCAATAGTTTTACCTCGAGTTTTACGTTACTGGACTAGAAAAATAAACCATTACATGTAGTTGAAAACAAAAATCACATCCTATAGTTTGTACAATTATCATTGTTCTATAGGTACTTAAGTACCTATTTTTCTGAGGCCCGGTTTATTCATCTTTATATAAACTTGCTGGTAACTCTGCAAGATACATTCATCATTCTATAATTCTATTGGTCGATGGATAACTGGCCGACCAATGAAATGTCAGATTGCATACCTGTCAGTTTATCAGTAGGCGAATAAACCGACCCTAAATCTGAATAAAATGCCAATTTATCTTGTACTTTTTATTTATAGTCTTTCCAGAGTCAGTTGAAACAAGGTGAAGGTAAATGACAACTGGTGACTGAATATTTTCACAAGAAATGCACTGCCACTGCCACTAGTCAGCCACTAGTTGCAATTTATTATTACCTTGTTTCAATTGAATTTGGAAATATCTATGGTGGTCTCGATGATGGTAGTATGGATACCAAATTTGGTACCACCGTTAAAACAACCCTTGAGTAGCTGTCAAGTAGTCAAGTGAGGAGCGAAGTGAAACTCGTTTTCTCCTATTTTCAGTGGTTTTCTCTGTGTAAATCGCTATGAATACACAAGTTTTCTACTAGACTATTCTAGACTATATTCTACCAATGAAATTCGCTCTAACTGGTTTGTGGTTTCTGTGAGAACAGACCTATAGTATCCCATACAAAACAAATACATATTTTACGGTAACTTTTTTTTTGCTTCACCCTGTATATGTGAAATTATTTCCTTTTTTTAGATACTCAAACTTACCCAAAGATATTTTTAATATTGGGGTTGGTGTTGGTAATATGAATATGATCTCCCAGTTGCAGAATGTTTGGAAAATTTAAGGGTGAAAAATCAACCATAATTCCATTGAATGCAAGCGTAATTCCGCGATATTCGTATGTTATGCCTGGTAATGCCAGCATAATCCCTGGTTATACCGAGTAATGTCTCATGGTGCCACCATAATGCCGGTAATTTCGCAGTAATGTGTCGTAATGCGCACGTAATGCATTGTAATGCAATAAAATTTGTACACGTATTGGCACCAGTTGTCACCTACCCCCTCGGGGGTAGTATCATTCAAGAAATAAAAAGCCTACATTCATTTACCAAGACGTTCTCACCTGTGTGATATATTCCTGGGGCGAAAAACTATAATCAGGCAAATCGGAATTATGTAAACTAGACCCATCAAACTGCGTCCAAGTTTCAGCAACCGAAACTATATCCAAATGCGCAGAAATTGGCCCAAAAACAACTTGATAGGTTGTGTGATGAATATCCATACAAAGTTTATTAAACTCCTTTGTAACGCTATCCAACAACGACAATTCTGTGCCTTCAGTAACACACTTGACCAAAGATTCGTATTCTTTTAAATCTTCCACCTCCAATAAAACATTTTTGAATTCAATTTGTGAATTTTTCTTGTTAAGTTCCAAAACAGCTGTCATCAGCTCTTTCTCAAGTTGCTGTATTTTGAGCCAAGCATCCCCGCTATGTTGCAACAAATAAAAACACAACTGAAAAGTGTTCCAGTCGTCTTTAAGCCTTTTTGAACGATCTATTTGCCTTAGAGCCACCCTATAATAGCCAGCATAGTTTGAAAAGTATGCCCTCAAAGCTATCAGCAAGCCACAAAATCCACAATTTTCTGTAAATTGTTGGCATCTTTTTTTAGCTTCAACTGCATAATCAACAACTTGATTTATGCTCAAATCCAATGCTTGTATTGTGTCAGGCAATTCATCTTTCATACAGCTTAAGCTGTTCAATTGTTTTATTAAATGTGCTTGCTCGTATGCAGCATATTTGCCAACATATACTTTTAAGTGATTATAAATTGCTTGTATAAGTGTATGGCTTTTTGGATTGTGCTCAATAATATTGTAAATATTGTCAGCAAATTGTTTTGAGACTTGTTTGACTTCAGTTAAAAATGTTAATTTGTCTGGCACTTGTTTAAGGGCAGCATCAATGCATTCATTTAAAGAAGGGTCCAAGGAGTTAAGTACGTCAACATAAATGCTTATGAGGGAATCAATAGAAGATTCTCCTGCAAAAACTTGATTAAACCATTTGGTTTGCGAGTGCCAATTAGATAAAAGAATGTCGTAATAATTGTAAATCCACTGAATAACGGATTCATCTTGTTCAATTTCAAGTTGGTTGCGCCATTTTTTGACTAAAACATCTCTTTGGCAATTGCGGTAGTATTTTATTAGTTGAGGTATTCTGCCAATTGAAGAAAAAATGCGGACAAATTTAATTGATTGCTCAGCATCACTTGACGTGAAGGCTTGTACGATTATTGGACTAGCAATTGCTTCTAGTCGGTTTTTTAAGCCTTCAAGCTGCAATTTTCTGTCTTCGTAGTCAGAGACATTAACTAAGAGTTTCAAGGAACTTTGCATTCCAAGGATTTTATTCGAAATCGCTTCAATATTTTTTGAATCGAATATTTCTTCTAAGTCATTAACTAATATAGTCCAATTGTCACTTTCGTGTAAACCTTGCTTGGCAATACTCAATTTGTTTTTCATTTTATCTAGTTTTTCTATTGTGTTTATGCTATTACGAGTGTCCTGCTCGATTTGCACTATTTCCTGTTTGACTTGGCCCATTTTTTTCTTCAGAACCAAAGCTTCTTCTTGCAAAACTTTGGTATCTCGCATAATCTTTGGTAACGAAGACAAAACTTGTTGGCTGCTGTTTTCCAATGAATTATTCACTTGCTGCACGTAGAGTTGGAGTTTCATTACCAAACCCATTGTGTAGTTGCTCTAAAAAGATTGTAAATGAGTAGGTAAATTGTTGGATAAGTTAACTTACATCTTTTTTGTCTTGGGTTTGCGTTTCTCCGGATTTTAGGGTTTGATTTACCCATTCTTTCAGGTCGAAATTGTCGTTTGAAAACGAGCTTATGTCCTAGCAGAAAATAATTTAATATTTATTGTAGAATTTGTTAAAAATTGGGAAACTATTCTTACCATTTTTGTTGACGTCAATGTTTTTTTCTCCTAAGAAAAGGTAAACAAACCACATGACATAACCTATTTTTTGACTCTTTTGACGTTTGTAGGCATTTAGAAAAAAAAAAGAAGAATATGCTCATGCATGGAAATTTAACATAACCCAACTTTTTTATGATTACTTATCAAAGTTTTTACATAAACAAATAAATATTAAAATTTAAAAATTAAATAACATTATCCAAGTTAATTTGTGTGTAACAATAATAATACTCTCCTTTGCAATTCAATTTTTCAAGGTATGTATGGATAACTCAGGCAGTTAAGTACTTGCATGAATTTTATTTCTGCTTAGGGCCTGTTCATCTACCCTTCTGATAAACTGGCAGGTATGCAATCTGATGGATAAAAACGCGCAATCTGGAATCTTATTAGTCGGCCAGTTATCCGCTGATCAAAGGTCTGTTCTGAGTACAGGGTGGCCCAAATTCGAGCCTCATCATTGGGATCTGGGTAACCGTAAAAGATACGGGGTCAGTTAAATTATGGCAAAGTTGCGCAATTTTATGACCAATAGAATGCCGTTTTGAAACAAGAAAGATTCCGAATACTTCCGGAGATATTCGGTAAAAACCGAAATTTTGTAAAATCATTATTTTTTCCCGGGCTTATTTGAAAAGCAATTTTAAAATAAATGTCACTTCATCATTGTTGTCACTTTTTTCCCTTTAGAAGATAGTACTACTAAATTTAAAATTCGACGTTTCGTCTTCAGGCGGCTATCATCAACTTACTTTTTTTAAATATGGACCTGCATATTTTATTTGCGTTTTTGTCATCTTTGGGCATCCTAAAACCGATAATGTTTATAATTTTTCAATAACACAGTGAAAAAAGCAGGCTCGTAACTATTTAAAAAAATAAATTGATGATGATTCCAGAGTAACGAAACGTTGGATTTTAAATTTGATACCGCCATCTTGTAGAGAAGAAAAAGTAACGATGGGAATGTGAAATTAGTTTTTCAAAATATTTTTAAATAAACCAAGAAAAATCAAAACTATACGAAGAAAACATGAATTTCTCGTATTTTTCAAATTTTTTCCTGATTTCATTTAAAAAGATTTTGAAAAACTAATTTCACATTCTCATTATCACTTTTTCTTTTCTACAAGATGGCCGTATTAAATTTAAAATCCAACATTTCGTTCCTCTCGAGGGGTTTGACACTTCCAAGTATTTTATTTATTTTATTTATTTTTATTTATTTATTCATTTATTTTAGCATTTGCTAGTACAGTACAGTTTTACAAGTGGAAAATAGATATAAAATGTAAACTAAATATTTAAGTAATTGCTTATCAATTTACTCTCAAAAACATGGGTGTTAGATGATGATTTCACCTCTTCTGGTAAGGCGTTAAAAAGTCTTAGTCCATTATTAAATAACTGTTTTTGCAGTGCTGCAGATCTTGCCAATTCAATGTTGTAATTACCCCTATATCTTACATTATAATTATGACACTGTGATCTAGGAACTAGAAACTGATTAAAATAATTTGGGTACAAGTTATTTCTTATTTTGTAGATTATTAACAAATTTGACAATTCGATCGACTCCTGAACAGATATCCAACGCAACTCTGATTTCATAACCCTTATTGGTGTGTATCTACTACAACCTAATATAATTCTCATTACCTTATTCTGCAAGCACTGCAATCTGCCAATACAAGTTGAATTACATGATATCAATAGGGAGTTACAATATGTGAAGTGAGGCAAAATTATGGTATTATAAATCATTAATTTAGACCATCTACTCAGTTCTTTTGAAATTCGACTGAGGAAACCTACTTTTTTTTAAAAACTTTTTACATATATAATCAACATGTAAGGAAAAATCCAACTGTTGGTCTAAAATGACCCCTAAATATTTCATTTCTTTAACATAGTCAATATTTTCATTATTAATCATTATATTTAGATTTCGGCTCAAAAAGTGATTACATTTATTTTTTGATCCGAATACCATTACCTTAGTTTTTTTACAATTTAGTTTTAATTTATTTACGCAAAGCCAATCATACAAAATCTTGAGTTCTGCATTCAGTGTCTGAGCAATAATCTCACAGTCTTTACCAGCTACCGATAACAAAGTATCATCCGCAAAGAGACTTAAAAAAGAGTTTTTTAATATTTCACTTATGTCATTGACGTATACTATAAACAAAAGGGGACCAAGGACACTTCCCTGCGGAACTCCCAAATCGTTTGCCACACTACTCGATTGTTTTGACCTAACCCTTGTACAGTGAGACCTGTTAGATAGATAATCATCTAACCACCTAAGAACAGCGCCATGTAGTCCATATTTTGTAAGTTTATTCAATAATCTTTTACGGTCAATCGTTTCGAAAGCACGCTGCAAGTCAATAAAAGCACTCAGTATAATATTTCCTTCACCAATATCCTTCTTCCATCTGGAACACACAAATTGCATTGCAGATTCACAAGAATGGCGTTCCCGGAACCCAGATTGCCCCTCACTCAGCAAACCATTTTTTTCAAAGTACACTCTGAGCTGGTCTGACACAACAATTTCCAAAATTTTATCCACTAGTGGCAGTAAGTTGATAGGGCGATAATCTGAAGGTTCACAAGGTGATCTTACTTTGGGAATGGGGATTATAATACTGTTTTTAACACCATTTGGAATACGTCCAGTCTTTAAAGATGTATTTATTAAATTTAACAGTGGATATCCTATTGCTTCAAAAGTCCCCTTGATAAGTTTTACCCGAAGTACATCATCTGCTGTTGATTTATTTTTAAGGCTCATAACAATTTTTCTCAATTTTGAGATGGTTATACTTTCAAATCGGTTGATTGAAGTGTCAGTCCACATTGTATCATCTTGATAATCGGTTCATGCAGGTATACTGTCGGCAATGTCCTCAATACTTTTTTTGTAAAAAATATTGTAATTATCTTCCAAAGTTCCATAATCAGCGTCAAAGCTAATTTTCTGAAACTCGTCTTCCGCACCATTTTTACTGCCAATGAGTTCTTTAATTGTTCGCCACATTTTTGCACTGTCACCCTTGCATTGATCAATGTTTCTTTCGTAATAGCTCGCTTTCTCATTTTTTATGATACTGACTACTCCATTTCTTTTTTCCTTATAAGTTTTCCAGTCATCTTCATTTCTTGTCATTTTGAATTTTTTGTAAGCTAAATTCCTTTGGGTTTGTGCATTTTTTACTTGTAAAGTCATCCAGGGTTTTCCATGAATTTTTATAACTTTTTTTGGGGCAACCTTATCTACAACAATTTTTATGTTATTCAAAAAGTTATGATATAAAACATTGACATTTGTTGATGTAAATTCCCATGTTTTAGTGAATAGCTCACCTACTATTTCAGCCATTTTTTCTTCAGTTATACTTCTGATTTCTTTTGTTATGTTGATTTGCTTTTCCGTATGGGTGGGTATATTTACACCAATGGTTTCATGGTCTGATAGTGATGGATAAACTCTGGGAAGTTCCCTCAAAGTATAATCATTCGTGAAGATTAAGTCTATCGTTGATGCACAATTATTTGTAATTCTGGTGTTTTGCTTCACCAGCTGCTTAAAACCTGCATCTTTAGCAATATCTCCGAGTTTCTTACTTGCTGCATTTTCATTTTCCATATGAATATTGAAATCGCCCAGAATTACGGCCTTTCTTTGATTTATGGAATCATTGTTGAGAACATTCTCGAAAAAATCAAAAAATTTTGGAGAATCCCCATTTGGGGAACGGTACAAAGCTGCCACAACCATACTATCACCCTGAGTCTTCAGTTGCACTGACAAGAACCAAAAACCATATTCCGACGACTCATTCTGTAATTCTACTACTGCTATTCCAAGTCTGACGTAAGCAATGACGCCCCCAGTGTGTCTGCTATGTGAAAAACAACAGAAACATCGGTAGCCAACTATATCCAATTCATTCAAGGAAAAATCATTGGTTACATGAGTCTCATTTAAACACCAGGACAGTTGGTTTGTATTGACATATTAATGACTCAACATCTATTTTTTTATGTTGATTAAATCCCTGAATGGTAATTGACAAACAATAGTGATTTTCTATGGAACTGTTTGACTGCTATTATATGTAATGAATTCTGTCTCGATTCCTTTGTACTTCCTTCTGGTAAACCATATATTGTCTGTCAAAAACCGCGTGATCCATACGGATATTTGGAATCTTGAGCACTTCACTGGCATATTTGCAGTTTGAACACCTCTTTTCTTCCGATTGGCAGCTCTCAACAGGATGATGACCCCCACATGTTGGACACACCATATGCTGGTTTTTGCAGTCGTCCTTTTTATGCCCTTAACGCCAGCACTTAAAACACCTAAGTACGCCTACAAATTCAAATATTGGATAGCTGTCCCATCCCAGAAACAACCTTTTCTGAGACATTAAATATTTAAAGGCATCAGCTGACACTTCGAGTATTACATTATGCAATCTTTTTTTGTTTGGTATGTATTTTTTCACAAACTTGATTTCAAAATTTTCAGGATTTTTTACTGTGCGTTTTATTTTATTTATAAGTTCGTCCTCGGAATCAAGGTATCTCTGATCCACACCAATAATGACTATTTTTAGATTTTTTAGATCCGGTACAGTTACATCATAGTTTGCCGCCAAGGAGGATCTGGCAGCCTCTTGTAGATTTTTAAAAGACTTCTCATCCTCACATTGAACTAAAATACTGCCCTGCCTCGCTGGTCGTACATTCTCAACAGCGGCATCAATATTTGCTATATCAATTTTTTCCATTAATACTTTTTTGATCTCACTACTGTGCTGTTGTAAATCTTTTGGTCTAATGAGTAGCGGCGGCATTTTTTTCTTTTTAACAACATCGCTCCACAAAAAATTTTTGTTTTCAGGTCTGCATTCCATTGCCACGCTGCTGACGCGTTCCAAACATTCCTTTGTTGTTTTGTTTACTTGTTCAGAGATGTTTGTAATAATTTTGTACACCTGATTTTTGATTTTCATTGCCTTAATGGAAATCAATGAAATCAAAAATTAGATTTGGTAAAATCTCATGATTTCACTTGATTTCAACGATTTCCTGAGATAATTATTTGATTTTACTTGATTTTGCTGATTTCACTTGATTTTGCTGATTTCACTTGATTTTGTTGATTTCATTGATTTCCCAGATTTACATTGATTTCCCAAGAGTAAATGTGATTTTACTAGATTCACACAGATTTCATGATTTCAGTACCATTTACTATACCTATGTCGAGATCGAAATTATTGGATTTATTGGTAATGACTCATACCATTAGCAACGCTATATAAAGTAAGTGGCATCATAATAAAGTCGAGAAGTATTACTGTGCCAATACTATCACTTCACAGAAATTACACCATGCTGTGCTGTGAGTAATTTCGATCTTGGGTAGTATAGGCGTCAGGCGAGGGGTGAATAGCTGACCCAAAATGTGTACACTGAGATCACCGACTATCAAATTCCACAATCTTTAAGGGGGAAACAGCACCCCACATACACTGTGTTCCAAATTCCTTGTAATCACAGGGTTCCTCGGTAACCAGCAGATATAGAACTATGCGGTTTTCGCCAACCTGTATCAATTTTTCGTGAAACTTTGAATGCCGCAAACAGAATTGTGCCACCTTGTTCCGTTCCCGAGATACAGGGTGAAATAGGAATTTTGCGCTTTTTGGGGTGGTCATATTTCAGACACCTTGTAAGATAGAGAAACGGTGAAAACTAATATAGATAGATATTTTTATGTAGAATCCAGTTTTGTAGTCAATAGTTAATATTGCGTCACTAAGTTCATTAAGATTATCAAGTTTTTCAAGTACAGAGTAAAAAATGGTGATTTAAAAAATCAATAATTTTATTCAATTTTGCTTGTGGACACTTTAATAGGTACCTATATTTCCATGGCCAACTTAAGTTTTTCTTTTATTATTACGTTTTTAAGAGTTATGCCCGTATTAAATCTGTGTATTTTTCCGTGTATTTATTCATGTAGTTCAGGGTGACAACCGAAAAACTTCAAACGCAACATAAATCAGCATTATGAACAACAAAATAATGTTGGCACCCTGAACTACATGAATAAATACACGGAAAAATACACACATGTAATACGGGCATTAGTTTGAACCACAGTCCAAAGTGTGATGCATCATTTCAAAGAGAAAAAAAGGCGAATTTTTTGGGACCAAAAAATACAGAGTGTCTCATTTATAAAATACTAAGTTTGGGGTTTATCTCGAAAACGATTTGTCTAAAAAAATTTTATTAAGAAAAAGTAAGTTGAAGATGGATGCCTGAAGACGAAACGTCGGATTTTAAATTTAGTAGCACCATCTTCTAAAGGGGAAAAAGTGACAATGATGAAGTGACCTTTATTTTAAAATTGCTCTTCAAATAAGCCTGGGAAAAAATAAAAACTATTTTACAAAATTTCGGTTTTTTCCGAATAACTCCGGAAGTATTCGGAATCTTTTTAATTTCAAAACGGCATTCTATTGGTCATAAAATTGCGCAACTTTGCCATGATTTGACCGACCCTGTATCTTTTACGGTTTCCGAGATCCCAATGATGAGGCTCTAATTGGGGCCACCCTGTACAGGCCGACACTGTAGGCGAAGGTCTGTTTCCTATAATCAACAAGTCTGAGAAAGTTGTTTTACAATTTTTGAGCATTTATCAATGTTCCAGGGTCATTCCACTGATCTCGGTCATTCGGATAGAAATTTTTTGACAGCAATGCTATAGAGTGAAAACAACCCTACGGCTGTTTTCAGTATAATGTTGAAATGATTGGGTGATCTGTGTCACATGACAAAAAATAACAAAATTTAATTGGCTATTATAACTGTCAAAAAAATTTCACTGAAATCACAAACCAGTTACAGCAAATTTCATTGGTTCTTAACGATTTGCACCAATCAGAAACGCTCTGACTGGATTTGTGATAACAGACCTCAATAGAATTATAGAACCATAAATTTATCTTGCAGATATGTAGTTACCTTACCAGCAAGTTTATCTGAAGATGAATAAACCAGGCCTAAATATATTTTTAACTATTTCCTAACGCTTAACTAGACTTGATTCTAATCATGAACTTTTCCTGAATAAAAATAACAGCCCTTAATTATTACAAAATTTCTCTTTTAGAAATGCACTTTAGAAAAGTAACCACTAGGATATTAACAATAAGAAATTTCAAACAATTAAATTCCAAAATAAATAATACCAGAAGGATATCATCATTATCCAGTTACAACTTCAGCAAAATCCAATCAAAATATGTTCCTTATCCAAGCCAAACTCCTAATTCAACACCTCAAAATTATTATTCCACCATAGTAAACGAAGACCTAGTAGATTCAAACACATTTGAAAAGGTATGCGAAGAAACCCTAAACTCCCTAGCAGAATATTTTGACGAATTAGTAGCCACAGAACCAAAACTTGAAAAAGCAGATGTCATTTATGGGGCAGGTGTATTAAACATAGACTTGGGAATACATGGGACATATGTGATTAACAGACAATCACCCAATAGGCAAATATGGTTAAGTTCCCCAACGTCTGGCCCGAAACGATTTGATTATGTTGTTAAAGAAGGATGTTGGATTTATAAACATGATGGGCAACATTTGCACAAGTTGTTGGAAAACGAATTTGAAAATATTTTAGGTAGAAAATTGAATATTTCAGAGAATTGTTTACATAGTATATAATTTGTACAAAGGTTAAATAAATTAAATAATTGATATCCTATGTAATTATTTATTACCTATATAATTATTTACATTACCTACTGTTAGAAAATGACACATTTTGTGAAAAAAAATTAATAAAAAATAAATGTTTTACTTATATTAGCTTTCTAAAAACAAAAAAGGAGAATTATGAGAGGGCAGTTACTCTAAAAGCAAGACTTGAACTAAAACTCAATATACATAAGTAGTTGGTTGGAAGTTAAAAATAAAGGAAAAAAAAAAGATGTTTTGTTAAAATACTATCTTACTTCAAGAGCAGCTACCAAAACAGTGTCAGCCAAACAATATACTAAAGTCCTAAAACTTAAAAATTTATTTCATGGTCAATTATAGTACAAAGAGTTAAAAATTAAAATACATTTAACAAAATGTACTATAATAAAAATTAAGACCATAACATACACAATTTCAATTTGGATTAAAAAAAGTATATACCAATTGATTGAATAAATTAAATGTAATTATCCAATTTGTTTTATCAAGCAGTATTTTTATGTGTGACAAATACGTATATTATTTGAGCGACATTATTTTCTAGCAATATCCTTAAGTAATGGAACTCTAAAAATTCCGAGTTTTGCCTCAAAAGGAACTTGAGTTTTTGTACTCTGCCAACTAATTGTTCTAACCTTAATCTTAATTTACTTAAAAATCACAAAAATATTCTTACATTATTATGAACTATTGGCTGAGATCTGGGAATTCGAATAAATCTTGTTCCAAAGGTTTCATCACCCAACTGCCAAGTTGCGCTTTTTTAAATGCTTCATAGAGGGCTTCTCTTGCAGACTGTTATAAATTTTGCTTTAATAAAATATCCTTTATAATTGTAAAATATTTACTTACCACATAAGTTTTGACAGATTCTTTGGCTTCAGCGTAAGATGTTAACACAAGCTTATCAGTACTAATCGAAGACAGTTTGCCTGCGACCTCTAAAAACCGCTTGGCCAGCTGATGTTTGCAAACCAACGACATACCAGCGTCCGGTTTACCGCGTTCGGTTGACACTATTTCCGGTTGGCTCATGCCTTGCGTCCAAATAACGGCGAAACTTGGCGCTTTCTGTGCCAACCTTTGTTCCATTGATGTGGATCTCAACGTTTCTGGACGGTTTAAATTGAACGGAGGCGGCAGACCTTGTAGCGTATTTTCTATTCTTCCGCATAGTGCTCTATGATGGGATGATGGAGTCAGTTAGGAAGTGGTGTCGCGTGCATTTGTACGATGATAATATAATTTGGAATAAATTCAATGTATTCAATAATTGAGATGTATTTGTTGCGAGCAAATTAATTGAAAGTTGGTTTGTCTTTCAATTAAACCCATCTTTGTTTGTGGAGCTTGAAATACATGCACGTTTATTAAATATATTCAATTTGCTACATATTTTATCACCATCCTATAAATGTATAGACAATTTAGGAGAAAAAAAAACGAATTATTGAACAAAAAAGATGTGAAAACCTCTAATTTCAACACCCCAAAACTAATCAACAAAAAATCTACATATTTCTGTAATCATTTCGGCAAAAATTTGGTTCTCTGGAAAAATTGAAAAAGTATGTATATAAAATGGAAATTTATCAAAAACATATATTTTTCATTATCAGGAATTGCTACATTGAATATTGTCACATTAAAATTCTAATGTTTTTTGGGGGCTTCTTTAGTTCTGTTTAAAAAAATGAAGCATTTATCTATTAGGAGAGATTAGTCTGATAATTCAGAACACCATGATTCAGGTGAAAAAAATTATAGAGATGCCATTTTTTTGGTGCCAAAAAAGCTATTAGTCCAAGAGAAGAAGCAAAAATAGCTCAAATGGCTAACAACAAAAAATGAACAAGACCTTAAGCTTATTAAGATACAAAAAGAAAACTTAGAACGAGTCTTGGTATAAGAAATGTGAAGAAATTAACACCTACATAGGAGGAAGGAAATGCTCAGAGGTATGGAAATCTACATCAATGTCAAAAATCCAGGAACAGACAGAACTAATATCCAGGTAATCATTACAAAGGTCTATTGCAAGAAAGTAGACCGGAATATACAGGGTGATTGATGGTCTATGGCACCTTAGATGCTCATGGAAAACGGAGAATTAGATTTTTTTGAAAATTTGCATGCTTGAGTAATTGCTCATGATCTGTCATTCTACTATAATTGCAACGATGTAATATAAAGTTTGTTATTTTAAATGAGACACCTTGTATATTATTGTATCTTTCACTCTGCTATTACTTTCTGATTATTTTTGTAACGGGTGTCCCACTAAGGTCGACGAGGTACGATATTATGGAAACGTTATTTGCATATAAGTTGAAAACGAAAGCAGATATTGAATTGCGGTTTGCGCCAAAATGTAGATATTTTTTTGCTCTTTAAGCACAGCAATGAAAAAATAATATCATGCCATTTGGATTTTTCATAAAAATTAGAAAAAACTGGATCTTGGTTAAACAGCGCCCTAGAAGACGCGGTGGGAAGTATCGACCCTAAACGAAGTGGGTTTCTTAATAACAATGAAATTTTCTTTCAAATGAGCCCAAATTGAATAGGTAAGTCTGGATAAGGAGTATGGAAGATACAGCAATTTTTAAAACTATTTTTTTACTAGCTTCCCCCACCCTTATTAGTGAAGATACGAAAAAAACCTAATAACCAAACTGGCGCAAAAATTAATGAGCTTCTGATTTCTGTTGTTAAAACAGTTTCTAATATAGCGATTTCTTGAAAAAAATTGAATTTTTAGTTAAATCATCGTCCCTTAGCGGTGATCTTGGAAAATAATTTCCATCAACTTCTCTTGGCCTATTTGAAGAAAAAAAAATCCCGAAACCGTAAGGTCTATGGTTTCCATAATATTGTACCTTGCCGCCCTTAGTGGGACACCCTGTATAATACTGTCCTATACCTATCTCTAGTGATTTTCGACTTATTAATTAATGTCTTTATTTTTTCTTCAAAACATAGCTCTAGTTAAACTTGTACACTTGGCCAAACATAAAACTGGTACAGGCAAAATATATACTTCAAATTTGCCTACTGTGAATCAGGCTTAACAACAGAAAGTCTCTTCTGAAAAACTTACTAAACAAAGTAAATGCAACATGTTTTTATGTTATGATTGGTTTAAATATGACACTGACTTGACTCTTTCGTCATTGTTGAGGTGATAAAGAAGGTCGATTTACACAATACAACACAATAGGAAAATGCTTACCAGTTTTATGTTTGGCCAAGTGTACTTGTACTACTATGCTGTGCTACTACGTCACTGAGATTCGTAGAAATTTTAAATTTTGGAAAAAACTTAAGGAGGTCCTGTATATTAATTTTGCTTTTGAGCAAGAAAATTTGTTCTACATTATACAGGGTGGGTCAAAATTAGTAATTGTTCCGCCAGGTAGAAAAAAAACAGTACTTTTTTAAATAGAGTACCCTGTGCATATTATGAAATATTATTAAAATCCCTTACAAATGATGTATTATGTTCCTATACCTAAATACTAAGGTTTCGGAAATACAAGCAAGTTTCTGTTAGAAATGGATTATTTTGGGATATTTGTCCAATGGTTATTGAATAGTTATGAAATGTTGTGATGAAGCGTATTAGGTAATTCAAACAGAAGGATAATACACTATACTACTATACTATTACACTATACTACCATAGGATTGCTTATCGGCCTCATTTTTGGTAATCGTGGTTATATAGTGTAGTACCATTGCCAACGTCACTAAGTCGTCAGCTGTTTGCGCCAGCGATCGTAATTTATAGACGTTTGAGCATCAAATAGGAAAGTTCTGATATTTGTAACTCGAGTAAATATAAACATCAATAAGGCCTTCATACTTAGACCTTGTTTACTTTGGTAAATTTTAACTTTTATATGTATGGATTTTGTATATAGCATTATGTTAAATAAAGATTATTACTGAGCTTGGCTTGAACAGCTAAAAACTATTCAAGCTGCATTGAAATTATTCACTAAGAGTTTGTAAAGGATTATTTCTGCGATTGACAAGAAATGTCAGCATTTTTGACCGGTTGACAGGTCGCAAAACTCAATATTTTGGCATTTTATAGCTATTTATGTACCAAGGGGATTATGTGGATTATAATGCCCGAAGGCGAAACTAGCCCGAGGGCCTATGGCCCGAGGGATATATTTCGCCTGAAGGGCATTATAATCTTGAAATCCCCGTGGTGCATACAATGCTTTATTTTCTACTCAACACAATGTTTTTTCATCAATTTGTTATTAACAAAATCAGTTAAACTTGTGTGACAGAATATTGTTTTGTATTTTGACATGTACCTGTACATGTGACCTGTACCTGTACCTGCGACCTGTCCATAGAAACGAAATAAATTAATATATCTATAAACATCTCATAAGGCAAGGCAACGGTGGTGGTCCTGTGGGTTAACGCGCTGGACTACATGGGAAACATTGATGGTAGACCGGGTTCGAATCCTGGCTAGACCAAAAATTATTTTCGGTCAGACATTTAGTGGCTGCCTAGGGTAAAGTGCAAATTAATAGAACAACAACAACAAAAACACCTTAAGGTATTATAAGCGGGCGTTATAGATCATAACGCCCGCAAAAGCGGACGTTATGGATCAGGTTGTTATAGGTGTGTTAACGTATTTCGTTTCCTAGGTATTATGGATCTATAATAGTAAAGTAGAAAAAAAATTAAAAAAAAATAAATCTAGTTGTGATTGCTGTGTGAACAGGCCTATTAATAAAATCGCAAATGACAGTTCGATGGCCATCAGTCAGCCAGTGTTACCAACTCCGATAAGTAAAAAAGGAGTGTCACAAAGAGCTTTTTTTCGAAACTAGTTTTAGTGTCGAAAAGACTTCGATATGAAACCAAAATAGAAAAAGGATTTTTAAGCGACTAACCGTTTGTAACCGTGTTATAAACGGTAACTGAAATTAGGCCTTTTCGGAAACGCTAATCCTATCACCGGATCACCAGCTGATGTATTATAACAGCATATAACAGCTTGTTAGGTAAGGTCAGTTCCAGTTATGTGTAGTATACAGGTCTGGCAAGTCAGCATCTTACAGTTACCAATTTTAATGCAATAGAATGAAATGCCTAGAAAAATCTAAGGTTAAATAGAGAACGAAAACAATTTCCCCACCTCGATGGAGCGCTGGGAATGCTGGAGAGGGAAAAGCGGAAATCGTTTACGCTCTCTATTCAACCTTAGACTTTTTCTAGACATTTCATTCTATTACATTAAAATTAGCCCGTAGGATGTTCACTTGCCAGACCGGTATAGTTCATTCACAGTTCATTGATGGCGGGTGATGGCAAATACTGGAACGATGGTTACCATCAAGGATTGAAAACAAATGCATAAGATTGCCAAGTCCTTCAAGCACGCCACAAGTCCTGGAGAAGTGAGTTTATACATTTACACTACATGTTAGATAGGTACTTACCATTATGCAAACATAAGAATCTATTGAGAAGTTCAACTAACTAATTATAATTTACTGCAACATGCCCCTCCAGAGCCTCTGCTGCTCAGAACGCCCTACACTTACTAAGCGCACCTACAGGTGAATCCCCCATTGGGTGTAAACTGATGATTCAGAATCAAAGCTTTATTAGATTAGCTTGTTTCTTTTTCATTTTTGTATTTAGTTGTTCACTTGTGTCATGCAAAAAAAAAATATTGTCGTTGTTGTGTTTTTGTCTCTCTCCTACTCCCGCGGTATTTGACAGTTCAATCCAAGACAACTGGGCCATCCCATCCATTTTACCCTGACTATTTCCCTGTGAATTTTGACCAATCTAATCAGAAGCAGAGCTGGGTGTAACGAAAAAAAATCATTACTTTACAATAACGAGTTATTAAAAGTAACGTGTTACTTGGTAACTTTGTTACTTTTAGGATCGATTGAAAAATAATTGTAACGCCGTTGCTTTCCAAAAGTAACTGCAGATCGTTACTTCGTTAAAGTAACAAATTACTATGAAAGTAACGGATAACTTTAAGAGTAACACGTTACTATGGACATAACGCGTTATTTTGAAAGGAACACGATAGTTCCTGTCTGTCAATATGTTAATTATGTTTACCATACAGACTGGTTAATCGCTCGATTTATTGAATTGTGCTTATTTGTATCTTATAAGTTTTGGAGCACTAGAGGCCGGTTTCTCAATAGGAAGTCACCCCCGGTTTAAGCATAACTCCAGGGTAAACATTGAAACTGGATACGTTTACCCTGGAGTTGAAACCAACCCGGAGGTGACTCGCTATTCAGAAGCCGACCCTAGTAGAGCTTGAATTTCAAGAGCTAAAAAAAGGTTAAATTACCAAAGTATTTTGCCTGAACCATCAAAATTTGTCATCAGATAAAATAAATAGACAATACAATGTTCAATAAATAATAAATAATTCAAGTTAGGTTTGAATGGAACACCCTGAATATTATAGAATTTTTGGGTTTCTCGTTGAATTCTAGAGAAACAATTGAATGCTAATAATATGGTAGATACATGAAGTATACCGATAAATTCAAAAAATCAAAAATATACAGGGTTTTTCATTAGAGAAAGATGTTACTAATAAAGTCTGTTTTTTTTTAAAGATAATTCCCCAAGTCAAAAATTTAGTAACTATGTTGGCAACACAAGCCTTTTCTACATAAAAAATTTGAAAAATTGACAATTTTACATTGTATTGCCAACATAATGTCATTTTGACTGGAGCAAAAAAATGCAATCATATACAAAGTGTTTCATTTGAAATATCAAACTTTATATTACTTTTTGTTATAAAAGGCAACGCCGCATCGCTTTAATTATTTTAGAATGATAGATCAGGAGCAATTGACCTTTTGTTTGGACGCCATATTGCGGTGCGCGAACATAGTTGCCAACAGTAGAAAATTTTTTTATTAGCGTTCTGTCAACTTTAAAATCCAAAGTTAATGAATAAATTACATTTAAAATTTAAATTTACCGCCTATTACGAATGTTTTTGGAAAGAAAAACCATCAATTTTAACTTGTATTGAGCAGAATAGAAATAATAAAATATCTAGTTGACAGCCCGCTAGTAATTTTTGGTTTTCTTATTTTGGCAACTATGTTCGCGCACCGCAATATGGCGTCAAAACAAAAGGTCAATTACTGGGGCATGCAAATTTTACCTGGCACCGACATGTAGAACGAATGCCAAATACCAGGTGGCCCAAAAAAATGCTGCATTAGTAATCAACAGGTAGAAGAAAACAAGGAAGACCAAAACTGGAATGGCAGAAAACCATATAAAAGTCCATGAGTGGAAGAAATCCCTCATCAGAGGATTGCGATGATAGAACAGGATGGAAATTAGGTGTCAAACAACAAAGGAATACATTCTAAACCAACATATAGGGCGCGTTCTTTTATTTAGCAATGGGTCCATCTGCTGCCAGCATTATGAGACAGACATTCCAATTATCTATGAGCTAGACAAAGAAAAGCTGATTACCGATGGATCCACCGCTGAATAAAAGAAAGCGCCCATACATACTTATAAGTTTGAGGTCTGTTCTTAGACAAGTTGCTTTTTTGACTTACTTTCCAGAAAACATTAGAATTTTAATGTGACATCAATGTGTCTTTACAGTTAAATAAAACTATTGAAAAAATTCACCATAATTTTTTTTTGTTTCTAATTGAAAAGTATCCAAATACCTGTACAAATGTGGTTCCTTCATTAATCCGCCCAGTACAAGACTCTTGAGGTAAATCGGTTCAATAAAATGTGACAATAAAGCACCTTGGATGCCCAAGACGTTCCATTTGCATATTTTATCAGAACATGACATCGTAAGAAGTCGTTCGCCCTAACAACAAATAGATTTTAGCTCTATGAAGAAAAATATCATTATGAAGAACACAGCAAAGATTGCAATTTCTTGTTTCAAAGATGCATACCTGAAGAATTCCATCCCAAGTTTGAATTCCAGAACAGCCCTTGATCGGAATTGTACCTTCGCCGGATTCGATTTTCGTACGCAACTGACCTCTAGAAATCCTATTCGGGTGCCGATCTACGACCGAGTCTTCATGCGGACTGAAAATTCGAGCGTCCCCGCACGGCGCCGTATTAATGAAGAGATGAAACTCGATTCCTTTGGCCAACTTGTAGCCGCAATTGTCATCTCTTGCCACAAAAATTGACGTTGATGCAAGATCTAAAATATGAGCCATAAAGTTTGTCATTATTGTTCCAAGAAAAAAACCTTACCAGGTTTTGTGAGAAGTACCAGTTGATCGTACAAATAATTCACCAAACATCTTCTTGCAATAATCTCTGCGTGCATATCGTTTAATGAAGTACCATTTAGGCAAATATAGCCGCCAGATATGCATTTAGTACCTGTCGTGACGCAAATCACTTCAGCATTGTCCAGGGTCTGGCCTCTGGTCATTACGATACCAGATAAGACTTTTCTACGCGAATGCTGAATGTCGCCGCCCATAACTTCTGTAAATTTATCATTCACCATCCTATAAGATAAGTCAATATTTATAAAAAATTATTAAATAATATGATTTTGATTTAATAGTACCTTCCAATTTCATCAGCTTTTAGCATATTTTCGCGGGAGATATTTGAAGCGGAATCACCATGTCCATTTATTTGTCCATCCGATGGAGTGTAATTGATAAGCTTTGCCAAAGCAATTCTTGCGGCAGCTGATTTTGCGTTTTTCTTGCTTGAACCTTTGGAAAATCGTGAAATTTTTTTAAGATCTGCTATAAGACATACAGTACATACTTAATAAGCAAGGATCTAACAACAACTGTAGGATATGATGAAAATTTGTCGGACTCCAAGCTGGTAATCTACAATGTAACATTTAGGAAGTGTACTTAGTGTCTGAAGAATCTCAGTAATGTTGGTTTTTTAGGTTCACCTTATTGAGCATGTACTGTTATGTAATCCACTAAGAAAGCCTCAGACAACAAACTGGAACCCTCGAAATTAGGCAAATCTGAGGACTCCAATCTTCTGTTCTCAAACAAGATTCTCAATTACTTACCAGTTCCAGGAAACGTGTCTCCCTCAATAGAAATAGTAGCTTTGAATCTATTGACAACATCAGATTCATTTAAGGTAAAATTGTAAACCGCATTAGGATAAAGTTCGTTCAGTAACATAACAGGATTCTTATCTCGAGGGCTAACAACTGACATGTTGCTTTCCTCCTTAATTTTATCAATAGTGAAGTCTTCATCCGAACCGACATTGATGGCAGGGACGAGGATGCCATTGTTAGGCAACTGTACAAAGGATTGCAATGCATGTTCGGCCGCTTTGGATCTGGCAAGTTTCTTGGAAATTCCCGTTCCATAGTATTTTAGGCCGTCGACTATCACGTAGACACTGAAAACTGGATTGTGCGGTGGGCCTGTCACGCCAGCCACTTCGTACTTTAAGCCCACGCGAAGTTCGTTTAGGATGGACACTGGATTCTTTTCTGTTAGGTTGATTTCTGTCTTTTTGCGTTTGAGGATTGGCTTGTCTCCATTTCGACTACCTGGTATATGCGAACAAACATTACTTTATGTAAACGAACAGCAATAATTATTGTTTCACTTAAAATACCCACATAATAAGACTAATACTTGGTAGAAACCCTATAAAACTAAATGCAAAATATAACAAAACAAGGCCATAATAATAAAAACAGTGACACCCGGCTAAATAATTCTAAAGCAATAAAAAAATAATGTCCACTCAATAGTAAATAACAATCGTAGAATTTGCTGATAATGGCCAAGGAGAAATTCCAAAACGCCCTCGTATTAATATGTAAGTTCCCAACCCACCTTGCCACCATACAAATAACGTTAAAATTACCGTAAACATTTGACCTAGACCGTATCCATAAAGTGAAGAAAAAAGGTACTTAAAGAATTAAAAAACGCATAAGAAACACAAGAAAAGAGGGAAATGTTCAACACATTATATACATAGTAAATACATGAAATTAAGAAGCATAAACTAGCCCAAAGATAGGCCCTTAATGTTTTTTGTATTGATCCCATTTTTTCATAGTTACCTTTACGTTTAAGTATCAAATCATCTTCATTGGAAGAGTCTTCTAGTATAACACTAGTGCTACTTGACAGTGCCTGAGCTAAGAGTTCCTTTTTCTTCCCATCACTTATAGGCTCTTGTTCTAAATTAAAAATACATGCGAGAGCGGTTAGCGCCGCACTATTCCTGGCCATTTTTTTCGAAGGGCCGGTGCCCAAAAACGTCCCTTCGATATTTTTGACTTTCAACGACATTACGAAGCAGGGTTCGTGCGCTGGTCCGGTCCTGCTTTCCACTTCGTAAGCCAGAGTGGAAAAGATTTCGTTCAATACGGAAATTGGATTTTTACCGAGTACGATTTGAGTTAGTTGACTCGGCGATATTTTTAGTGGGTCTTGAAAGAGACCTGAAAAGCGATGTTGAAAAAAAAAAAAACAATAATAATATGAATCAATTTAAATTAAGGTCCCGGTTAAATTACAAACAAAAACTATAGGTACTTATACGGTTTTATTGATTTATAACCCACAAGCAAAGCTATATACAATATTTTTATCTGAAACTTAGTTACACTGTGACAATAATTTAATGTATCCAACTCTTGATGCTGTAACATAAACTAACCCAAATAAGTAAATTCTCAAAATGCCTGTTAGGATTTTATAAATAAAAAAGTCAATTTGATAAAGCTAAAGAATTCTTCCTTTTGCATTTTGAAATCTGATTCCTGGCATTACTACAAATTGAACAATAGATTCAAGCTACCAGCCTTAATGGTCTTCCACTAGACACTCCTGGAAACCATGGCAAATGGATTTTCATTTCTAGTTTTCTACTTTAATTACGCTGAAAAAACTTGACAAAATCCCAATTAAAAACCTTTCACAACAGAAACTTCCTAATTAGAAAAGACAAGTACCTACAAGGGCAATTGTCTTTGTTGCTGTTCAAAACATATTTTTAAAAATATTGTAGTATAATATGCCTGGGGAAATGTTAAAAATAAAACAGAATGTTTCTCTTAAAGATAACAATCAAGCTGTTGGAGTGATCTCTAGTTGAAACTCTTTTTTTAGTTTTATATCATTGACAGACATTTCCAAAAAAATATTGTCCTCTTTTTTAGAATCTTTGGATTTTTCTTATTTTTTTTTCTAAATTGTTAAACTCTACTTAGACTTTGATACAGGGTAAAGGAAAGATAGGAGCTCATTCTGCGAAAATTTCAAATTTTTCCAGTGGAAAATAAAAACATGAAAAAATCAACTTACAAAAACTGAATTAATTGAAAAACAGTCTCTCACATTTCAAAGTTTTGCTAGAAAACTAATAAAGGGATCATTTTGAAACTTTTTGCATGTAAAAAGGAGAGATAGAAGCTCATTTTCCCAAAATTTCAAATTTTTCCAGTGGAAAATAACAACATGAAGAATCTTCAAAATCAACTTACAAGAACTGAATTAATTGAAAAAACAGTCTCTCACATTTCAAGGTTTTTCTGGAAAACAAATAAAGGAACAATTTTGAAACTTTTTGCATGTAAAAACGAGAGATAGGAGCTCATTTTCCCAAAATTTCAAATTTTTTCAGTGGAAAATAAGAGCATGAAGAATCTTCAAAATCAACTCACAAAAACTGAATTAATTGAAAGAACAGTCTCTCACATTTCAAAGTTTTGCTGGAAAACTAATAAAGGGACAATTTTGAAACTTTTTGCATGTAAAAAGCAGAGATAGGAGCTCATTTTTCCAAAATTTCAAATTTTTCCAGTAATAAAAAATATCAACATGAAGAATCTTCAAAACCAATTTACAAAAACTGAATTAATTGAAAAAACAGTCTCTCACATTTCAAAGTTTGGCTGGAAAACTAGTGAAGGAACAATTTTGAAACATTTTGCATGTAAAAATGAGGGATAGAAGCTCATTTTCCAAAATTTCAAATTTTTCTAGTGGAAAATAACAACATGAAGAATCTTCACAATCAACTTACAAAAACTGAATTAATTAAAAATGTCTCTCACATTTTAAGGTTTTTCTGGAAAACCAATAAAAGGACAATTATGAAACTTCTTGCATGTAAGAAGGAGTTTGGTAGTAGGACCTTACAAACTTATTTAATTTCCATTATTTTAACTACCTACTCAAGTAACTAAAATAGCTCCAAGAGTATAAAGATGAAAAATTTGAGTTGTCACATGTTTAACTTATCTTAAATCAATTAAAAGTCACGTGTGAAAAAATCTGTCGCATCAGCAATGTCATTTCCTCACTCACCTTATTTAGTAGTTACAGTTGTATAGGAACATATAATTAGTAAAGTTCTCAGTAAAGTCTATACGAAGTTACTTGGACCAGGCCTAGAATAGTCGTATGGTCAATATACTGCATCACATATTGAAAAATATAGCAAAATTTATACTGATTGCTCCTCATACAAGTAGGGATGGATAGATCTGATTGGCTCCTTGTACAGGGTGTCCAACATTCGATGGTTTTTGGGGGGTTTCGGGTATTTCTAAAGGAGTCGGAAAAGATCTGATCCTCACTTGCGAGCCTCCATTTTCAAGATAAATTGACTGGTGAAAACCGCATTTCGATATGTCGAGTCGTTTTTATGCTACAAGGGTTTTTTTTGTAAAGTTTGGAGTTTGCCAGGGGGTCTATAACTTTTTGTAGCTTGAAAACGAATCAAGATATCGAGATGCGAGTTTCACCGGTCGGCTTCTCTTGAAAATCGAGGGTCGCAAGTGGGGGTCAGTTTTTTTCCAACTCCTCTAGAAATACCCGCCAAAACCATCGAATCTTGGACACCCTGTACATGTTCGATGCCAGTCAACGTGGACTCGATAGATCTGATTGGCCATTGCCAATTTTTGATTGGCCGACATACTGTTCATTCCGTTTTGTGGGGCGACATGATTGTAGGTGTGAGAGACAGTGCAGTGCATTACCTACTCTAGTTTTTTTGATTAGTATATTGATTATTAATTTTAGTTATGCCTTTTGAATTTACGCCGCCCATGTTTGACAGAGAAAAAGCTGACTTATGTCAGGATTTAGTATTTATACTAGTCCAAGTGACTTCGTATAGACTTTACCTATGAGTTACTTATGAGAAGCTCCTCGTTTTTATTCTCATCGGTGACTTCACCGATGAGTTAGCTATCTTTGTTTAGTGAATGGAAAATGACAATGACGGCCATAGAATGGTGGATCCATCAGTAAAATTTGATGAGAATAAAAACGCAGGGTATGTTGTAAAGTATATTATTTGGCTCATTATTTGGTGTTTCAAATATTACAACTTCCTCACATAGAAGGTCTGCTTCTACAGAAATCACAAACCAGTCAGAGCAAATTTCATTGGTTGAAAACAGCCCGAAACAGTCAGAAAACTAGTTTCAACCAATGAAATTCACTCTGACTGGTTTGTGATTTCTGCAGAAACAGAACTATAATATCACCATTTCAGATGTCAATATAGACATTTAGATACCTAATACAGAACAGGAAATATTGTAGGTAGGTATTTGATTTGACCAGACACAATGTGCTTTTTTTCTTCATACCTACTTAATATTTTATATTTACAATTTAAAATCATTTTCACTAAGTTTATATTTTAGGAAGTAATTTATGCTATAGAAAACTTTTGTTATGAAGAACATTTTTACTATTTTTTAAAAAAAAATCAACTCTAGGGTCTTTAACTCTTTGGGAGTTTATTGAAAAAAGTCGGTGCATAGTAGTATCTACAACTTCTTGATTTTTCCAATCATAAGAAGTCCAAGTTTATATTGTCCTTCTTTCTAGGAGGTATCATAGTTATGGCCATTCTCATGATTCTGATATTTATTTATATTTTGTCGAAGTATTTTGTTTTGCATAAATCAGTCATTCAATACCTAATGCTTGATTTAATGTTTTTTCCTGGGGTGGCAGGTATAAGAAAAATTGCAAAAACATCCCTTACACCCCTCAATGACTCTAATTGTTCTTCTTGGGAGGATGAATATTCTCTTGGTGAGGGGTGATTCACAACGGGATATCCCGTGTACACCCTGCAGAGGTTTGGGGAAATCTGAAGAGATTCAGGGTTGGCAAAAACCTGGAATTTTGAAAATTTCTATTGAGGTCTGATTTTGTTTAATATAGACAAGAAAAATGTGAATTATCCGAGATTTATTGTTAATAATCCTAACTTTAGTTTTCTTTAAATTAATTTTCAGATTTGCTTACATTTATTCCTATCTCAGATTCAGAACAATGTCATGTGTAATGTGTATTGCAAATGGACAAAAACCCACAGGGTTTTCCAAATGAGTTTTTGTGTATGCCAACCCTGGGTAAGATTCAGGAAAATCTGAAGGAAATCTGAGGAGACCTATACGACATGTTATTGATATATGGGGAAATCTTACTGAGACAGACCGTGCGCGTGTTCAGAATTTAATTTTCTATTGATTGAGAATATTCAAGAAGATATCACTCGGGATATCATCATGTTCTCCACTGAAATAAAAATATTATACCTCATATTGTAATAAATGTAGCTTTGATATTACAGGAAAATAATAGATTGAGAGAATGCACATGATGTTTTAAGGAGAAGACCCCGGGAATTGTGTTCTGGCTTTGCGTTTGTGCTACTATTCTATGAAATCTTTGAAAAATTAGAGAGATCTAGTGAAATCTTGGGAGATTTAAGGAAATCTGAAGGAATCCCAGGGGGATCCCTGGTAATCTGGGAAAATATCTTTTGCATAAAGATATCTCTTGTACGCTTAAATATGCTGTGACTAACCCCATATCTCTCAGCATTAAGAGAATCAGTATCTCATGGTTTGCAACCCACTTTTCTCTGCAATTTTTTCAAGGTTTCTGATAAGAAAGATCGTTTTTCAGAGTATTTTTACTGTGTTATGAATATGTGTCTCAAATTTAAGTTTTTGGTCCAGGAAGACTCCCAAAAACTTGATCTGTTGTGAATTTTGTTCATTTTATCTATTCAAGCTAATGGTAATTTTCTCAGTTTAATCCATGTTTAGTTTCAGCACTGTAGTTTCAGCTTATTTGATTTGATTTATTTATTTATACCGGGTGTTCCTAGAGAGTGGCTCACCCCTATAACTTTTTTATTTTTCAAGATAAACAAATAAAATTTGGTATGTAGATATTTCATTTCACACGCATATGGATTGATTGACGTATGCAATTATTTTCTGTCACTTCCGGTTTAACAGAAAATCACTATAACTTCCTTATTTTAAATGGGTCACCCGGTATATTTTTGCTTAGTTTGATAGAAAATGACATTCCGAATACAATAATACCCCATTTTTGACCTTCAATTTATTATTTTTTTTTTAATTCCACACAGTCGATATTTCGGTTAAGGATATTT